TTAGGCAGCTTGCACCGTAGTTCCCCTAATAATTCTGGCCGACATCTCTCCTACCAAATTAATGATTCTTAATAACCAGCTGAGTGATCGAATTTAGTCAAAGAGCGTCAAAAGCCCTTGAACTAGGGCCTGCACTTTTGCGGAATCTGTGTATTCGACCACGAATACTTAACTTTTGTAAGTTTTATTGTGCAGTTAACTGTTGTTTAGGGACAGGAAAATTGCCTTGTTCATTAAAGTCCCGAGACGAAAGCTACTATCTCATAGACTTTTAGTTGCCTGTGCCAATGAGTTGGCGCCGGAGGGAACTGCCAGAATGAACCCAAATCAAACTAATAAGCCATCATTTACATCGTAGCAAGAACAGTGTTAAATGTAAGAGAATATTATTTTGTAAAAATACATTGAATCGACCCAGTCTGATTTGCCATCATTCTATAATCAGCGACTTTTTTACCAACTTACAACGTTTTAATTTGCTAATATTAGCGCGGAATCTTTGTGTTGGCTTTCGTACCGATATCCTGATGGCCCTGGGGCTCTCAATGTGGGCCAGGCGCGCCGGCGCACTCAGATTGAATTATATTCCGAAGCTCTCTTTCTCCGCCAGCACAGCCAAAGTGGAAAATTTGTACAAAGTGCTCCGGCTTTCCCCAGAGGCCACTCAAAGGGAAATAAAGGAGGCATTCTACTCCCTCTCGAAGTTATACCACCCCGACAGAAGTTCAAGCAGTGAAGCAAGCACGAAATTTAAAGAAATTTCCGGCGCATACGAAATTCTTGGTGATCCAGCTAAGCGTATGGACTATGATCGCGGGTTAGTCATCCCGAAACACAGGAGTGAGATGTCATCAGGCCTCGACCCCGATATATTGCGTAAATCCAGCGATATTTCTTTCACTTCACAATACGCTCGCTCCTATAATAAACATCTTAATGATATCTGGCGCGAGCGTGCAGACATTTCGCTAAGCAAAAGTGCCTTTGACTACCGACTGGATCAAAGGAGCTTCGTCGTCGTTTTCTATATCACCACGTTTGGAGCTATCCTTGGAGCTTACTTCTTGACAAAGTACTACGAGGAACCGATCCCATTAATAAAAAATAACGAGATTAGCTCGTGATTATTTGTGACGATTGTCTCATAGCCGTTATCTTAGTTGTTTCCCACAGTTGCAATACAGCATTCTCATCGCTACTTTTCTTGATATATCTGTGGTTTCCCGTGGACTAGGCGGCCGAGTGTGGCACACGTTCTCCGTGTTGACGTTTTGTAATATTCCACTTCTTTCACAAGGAATTGCGTTGTTTAGTCTGATAGGCGTCTCTCAAAACTTGTTTTGGGTTTCTACAACCGTCGAATAGTTGAATCATATTTGCTTTCGATTTTCGTTGTCTAACTGGTTAAGCCATCCCAGTTATCAATCACTCACTTTGCCGTGTTTACTTCCAACATCTATTTCTAGCTGTTTAATTCAAGTTAACACTGTTGTTTTTTGTTCTAGCTGCCTTAAGGAGGATCTATGGTTAACTTTCCAGGCATCGCTTGGCGCTCACCGTAGAAGCAGCTAGGGCGAGCTCACGTACACATACCGCTTATTTT